CGGTCTACCTGGCAATGAACGTCCAGCTTGTCATGGTGATGATTGACACGCTTGGATTGCGACCTCTCCCCAAGATCAAGCAAGTGACGAAGGAGGCTTGCTGAAGAACATAATGCTTGAACGAGTACGGGTACGGCCTATAGATATTGTTTGGGGCAAAGGGGAAGTTTCGATATCCTGACAAACGCTTGGAAACTTGGAATCTTGTGTTGCCCGTTCAGCCTATGCAGGTGAGCCGGCTGTTCAACCTCATGGACTACACGGCTGGCAAGCACGAGGCGTACATGAATGCTTGGTCCCTCAGGAAGCTGGTTGGGTTTGCAATTCGTCGTCAGCGAGATTCTGCAAGGCGGTGCCAGAAGCCGCGAGACCCTTGTGCTAAGCTAGTCATTTTGCAAGTTTTTTCCTCAAAGTGGAGGGGCAGTGATGGACAGTATTGGGGCCGATTGTGAGCCCAAATTACAACGTCGTTATTGCAGCAACAAAGGATGAACATATTTCCGAGCTCTTCCAACGGATCCAATCTCTTTCTGATGCTGGTGGTGTTCCGCGCCGTGTTCTGGTCCAAGGAGAAGATTCTGATGAAGATGAAGACAGTGATTCCAATGCCCCCAAAAGTGATTCTGAATCCGAAAGCGATGATGAGGGCAACCATTGCCAAACTTCCACGAAGTCGGATGCACCAGATGCTGGGGCCCTGCAAAATGGCGATGCCCAGAGTTCCAGTGGCTCCAACGACGATGATTTGATGATTGTGGCAGTGACGCCCCCACCCAGAAGCAACTTACAAAATAGCCCCAGCAACAAGGTGCTGGCTTTGAGAGGTCAGCTTCAACACCTGCTTCAACAATTGGAAAAAGCCCGAAGTGAACGCGGCCTCCCCGCGGCCGCCCCGAGCGCAGGCACCGGTGACGCCGGTCCTTCGAGGTCGGAGTTGCCGACGGGCCACGCACCTGCCGAGTTGTGCCCCAACCCGGACCAGGACGGTGTGGGCAAACAAGACTTTTAAGTTGTTTCGTGTTGGTTTTCTGTCCTGATTCAAAGTGTTTGGCTTGTTCGCTGAAGGCCGATACTTTGCCCTATGACCCGAGCTTGGCATCGGTGCCGCCATCCCCATACTTTGAGCTACCAAAAGAACGTGGGTATTTTGCTGGCAAAGCTTGGGAGAAGGACCGGTTCTCATGTGCGTGCTTGTTTCAAAGGGTTGACCTTATATGCTACATGGTTTATTCTTCAAAACAAAAAGTTAAACATCGCTGGATATACTACACCGTTGGGCACCTTGGAGGCGGCAGCCGAGCGTGAGGCAGAATCCAAGCGCAAGGAGGCAGCCAAAATGAGTGAAAACGCCCAAGAGCAAACCCTGTCACCGCATGCTAGCAATTCTGGCCCGGCAGAGCCAAACAAGAACCAACCAGCCAAGCCAGCTCCCTGCGTGACCCCGGACATGCAGCGTGAGATGAGAGCCTCTCAAAAGAAGAACTTGAAGCGTGGCAGAGAAAGGCCCGCTCCAAGGTTTGGGCCAGCGCTTCAAAACCCAAGAAAAACAAGAAAAAGACAGGCAAGAATGCATCGACCAGTGCCAAGAGCAAGGCAAAGCCCAAAGCCACACCAAAGCGCAAGGCAGCGGCAGGCAGCAAGAAAGGCGCCCACCCAGACAGCCAGCCTTCTGCTAAGCGCCCGAAGTTGGCCAAGGCGCCACAGGCAGTCCCTCCTGCAGCGGCCGACGGCGCAGCGGTTAAACTCGGGTGCCCACGATGTTATTTTGGCCGCACTGGGTGCACAACTTGCAGAAACCCAGACTACAAGCCCAGGGGCCCCAACGTGAGGACCCTGAACAAGGGGCAGAAGCTCAAGGAATCCAACATGCAGAAGCCCATTGCCAAGAAGGACAAGGATAAGAAGGGCAAGATTCCAAAGAATGGCGAGCCTAACAACGTGCAGAAAAAAAGCCGCAGACCTTCCAAGACAAAGGGGAATCAGGGTGAGATGGAGTTTGCGGGCGCCGAGTTTGAGGTTGACAAGAACATGCAGAACAAAGCTGCTTTGCAAGTGATGGGCCGACCTGAGCCTGAGGATATTGACTAATTAGGGGATCCTTTTGAGGCATGTGGCACACAGTAGTCACAGGCACGTGAAGTTGGTCCGATCGAATGACAATTTTGTTCTATAGGGGTTCTGCTGAAGCCGTTTCATTGCACAATCAATGATGGGGTCGCGCTGAAAAAGGATCTGGAATTTGGAACGATCGATCCTTGTTTTGGCGTGGATGCATGCTCATTAATGTGTGGCATCGCCCCACCCATAGCTCCTCGCGCCAGGTGGCAGTCTGGAAGATCACGATGAGCACTGCCTGGAAAGTCAGGCGTGGCTTCTTGAAGAGAGGTGCGCCCCGCTCCCTTTGCAGTTGAAACTTGTGGGTTAGCTGCTATATATTGCGCATACAGGGAACCGATCCAACACTCACAATGACCCTTCTACATGTGGCAAGGTTGCACGTCTGCAGTTTTCCTAGCTTCCGGGTTTCTGACCTTGCTGTGACCAGCCATGGATTTGACAACGAGGGGCCCTGGGTGCTTGACAGGGACTATTCGAAGGTTGGTCGCAGTCGCTGCTCCAGGGGTGCCTCGGCCTGTGTAGGTGCAAGCAAGAACTCTCAAGCTGAGTGATCGGTTCATTTGATCTAGGTTCTTATCATGGCCATTGTGGTGGCGAGCTTTATGAATCTGCCTTTCGAACAGGCCTTTGTGTTGCAGCACCGTGTGGCATGCTGTGCACATGCATGCGAGAGCCCTGTCAGAACTCACTTGACGCCATAGAGATGTTTGCTGGATGCGCATCTCTGTCTCATGCCCTAAGAGCTCATGGATATCAATGCGCTGCGCTGGACATTGATTATTGGAACTCATACAAGGAGAGGAGAGCCACAGCAAAGAAACGCATTCCTGGCAAGAACTTCTTTGATTTACTACAGCCTGCAGGCTTTCTGACCCTGAGTGGAACTTGAGCGTGAGCATGCAGGGACATTTCACGGTCGCTCAAACTTGTTGTTCTCAACTGGCGTTGCCCTAAGGACAGCGCTCTTGGCACTGCTTGCTGGGAAGGAGGAAGCAGTGGCATTCTTTGCCATAGTTTGCTCTTCGTTCGTGAGCATTTCACGGGCCTCGACGGGAAGGACATGGTTGGCACCGATGGGGTTTCCTGAAGTGAAGGCTGTGAAAGTTGGAAATCAACTAGCATCAAGGCCAGTGGTGGGACTAACTTTGTGACTGAACGTGTGTGCGCTCTGCATTAGCAATGGGGCCCTGCGAAGGCTAGCGCTGCTCATCTACGTCGCGGAGGCAAAGGCAATGACATGGGTGGTAGAACAACCAGGTAGCAGTCTTCTTTTCCGCCATGTTCGCCTACGGGTCATAGCCGAAAGGTTAAGGGTGCCTTGCAAGAAATGTACGTACGCATTGTGTTGGATGTGCATCGTTTGTCATCGTTGCGAGCCAGAACATCTCAGGTATTCCGTCAACCTTTCTGGATGCGCTTGTATGGACATCAGTCGTGCAAAAGGACTATAACATGGTCTAATTCAAGATCGATTCGCCAGCTCCGCACCGGCAAACTTCGCTTGCACCATAGGAAATCTGTCAAACAGCCGTTGGCCAACACCACAATCAAGCCGGACGGAAGCAAGGGGTACAGCGGCTCCAAAACAGCCCTCAAACAATCTTCGAGTCTTAGTCGCGTTGAGCGTGTTTCCTCGATTGTGTTGATACCTCCCCCGAAGCCCCCAACTAACATTAATGAACATATATAACCTTCCAAAAATTTCCAAAAGCTACATCTGTGTTGCGCCACTGAATCTGCCCCCCACCCCGGGAACGGAGCCTGCGGTTGCAAATGGGTATATGCATGCCAGCCAGTGTTTCTATAGAATTACTGTTCAGTGTGCAACTGCGGCCTCCCTCCCAACAAAAACGTACCGAAAACGGAGCCCCTATATAGGTACCTTTTGTTTGCCCCCAAAACGGAGCCCTGGATGTGTCTAAACTGAATGGATGCTCAGATACATTTTTCAGTGGTCAACGGAGCCCCTATATAGGTACCTTTTGTTTGCCCCCAAAACGGAGCCCTGGATGTGTCTAAACTGAACGGATGCTCAGATACATTTTTCAGTGGTCCCAAAACGTACCGAAAACGGAGCCCTACTTTTTCAGTGGTCCCAAAACGTACCGAAAACGGAGCCCTACTTTTTGCGGTCGATCCCAAAGCGGTCCCAAAACTTTTGCGCGGTCGATCCCAAACAGGTTCCAAAGGCTTCTTTTGTGTGGCCCGGAAGCGCCCGCAAAACCCCCCCCCTTCCCAACAAAAAAGAAGACCATGCACCTTCCAGGTGTTTCCCAGCCTCTCTGAGGATGTACCCGATTGGCTTCGGGTTGAGGGTCGCGAAGATCTTTGAGGACCTGTCCAGCAGCAAGAGCCACGGAGTCCCCAAAGAACCAGTTGAGGTGCCACGCATTGTCAAACTTAGCGCATGCACCTGCCTTTTCATAAGTGTGCGCTAGTGTGCGTTCGCAGGTTCCTCTCTTGTGGGACTTTTCGGTGGGCGACCTTGCCCGCTATCCGGGCATCTTTGCGGACCCATGGAACGATGCTGGTATGGGTGATGTGCTGAATTACCTTCTGGCATCCAAAAAGTGCCCTTCCATCCCTCCGTACATACAAACTCTCCTAGACATGCTGCCCTGGGCAGATTTTGAGTTTGCCGGCAATGACCGGCAGTGATCGAATGCTTTGAGATGCATTCAATTTAGCAGCGCGCGCTGGCACGGCGGACAACAATTGTGCACGTACACATGGATTTTTTTGCATTTTGCAAGTTTGTGATCGTTTGTGTGTGCATGTTGCATCCGTACAAGTTGCGTACTTTGAGCGTAAAGTGGCATAAATTCCCGTACAAAACGGTACTTTCACATTTTGCTCAAGATCCATTTGGATTCCGTGCGTGAGCCTGAAACTAGCGCCCATGCCAGAAAGTAGTTCGACCTTATTTGCCGGGGCCTCCTTCCTGATGGAACAAGCGAGGGTGGTGGACTTGATCGAACTGATTCAGGCATCAGGGTTTGCAGTTGTATTGTCAACACATGTACGTCGTCCAAAAGGGTGGCCCAGCTTTTGCAACCCTGTTTGCACCTCAGGCTTCCAAAAAACAATTGGAAGATCTGCAGCAGCCCAACGACGACCCCCTGCTTGCCGAGTCCAGCAGTGAAAGCACCTTGGTCACACCGAGCAGGAGGTGCGATTCAGAACTCGACGAAACCCCAGAAAAGGTTGATCAGATGGCTGGGGCTCAGGGTCAAGGTGAGGCAGGGCCCGACGACGAAACCATCCCGGCAACAGACGTTGAAGATTTGTTGCAAAAGCTCGACACAGTCGCGACACTGCCTGAAACCAATGAAAGCTCTGAAAGCGCGTGGCCGTCGGATTGGCATGATGCGCAAAGCCGTCGCTCCCCCACCCTTTCTCCCCTTCGAGAAGATGATCCGTATGTTATTGCCTTTTCCGATTCTGGGGAAGAGGACTGTGAAGGGCACAACATGCATTTGAGTGAGTTGGGCAGTTCCATTTTGAGGGTCTCCTCCCCATGTCCCGCAGGAGCCCGACACTGATGAGGGCCTGGCCAAGAAACTCGCAGCTGCAATGTCATCTGCGCCAACCTCGTCGGAGCAGGCGCCGGGCAAGGCGACTTGCTGACTGTGCACAGGCTTTGGGTGTCAATGCACAATATTGGTTGTTTAGGGGGGTGTGTGTGTGTGTGCAACACGTTCAAATCAAGGCCCAATCTTTGAGACCTTTGGTGCGTTGAGGAAACTGTTGAGACGGTAGCTTCCTCGCCTGCTACACCAGCTGGTTCACATACTCCTCCTGGTGAGCGTCCTGCCCACCCATCGCACGAAAGCGACACCCAGGGGGATGAAAGCGGTGATGATGAGGCACGTGTACACATCCATCATGCGCTTGAGCTCGATCCCACAGTGTTTGGGGCTTGAACGCTCACGCATGTAAACACGCAGGTGATCAAGCTCAAAGCTGCCATGAACGCCAAGCTGCGGAGAATTTGCCAGCCTAAGGCTTCTTCAGGGCAATTGGATGTGAGTGCGGAAGTGCACAAGGCATGGAAACAAAAAGGCAAAAGTCGTGAACACCTCCTCAACATGCTCATGGAGTGTGGTGGAAGCAAGGACTGTTTCACACTTGTGCACGCAAAGAGCCAGCCAAACCTCCTATAAGCACGCTCCAGGACGCTTTCTTGAAGATGGTGACCCGGCGCTTCAAGAAGTCTCGAAAGGGGTCTTTGAAGGCCCGGGGCGGCTTCTACAGCGAACTCCAGATGAAGAACACGTTAGGCTATCCACCGACATGCCCTTAGAGCCGAGCTATCTTGTGGATTTCAGACGTTTGTGGAGCAATCTTTTATGGGCTTGCTTTTGCCGCCTAGGAAAAGGATTGCTGCCATCACCAAATACTGCTCTCACAAGTCGCGCCGCAAAACCCACACCCGCAAGGACAAGTATGAAGAGGACTTGCAGTACTATTGGGTTGAGTTCACTGAGGAAGGGGAGGTAGAAAAGTGCGAAGAAGAAGAAGAAACTGAAGAGCAACATGAGATGGCGAAGGGGAAGGTGAAAGGGCTGGGTATGTCGATGCAAGCCTGTCCATCAGGTCTCTTGAGCGATGGCACGGGTGATGATGGCTCATGTGGCTCTGGCGACAACGCTTCTGGTGATGAGGGCCAGGGTGGCGGCCGTGACAAACGGAAACGGGCGAGCTCCAAGGGTGAGAACAAACGCACGAAAAAGAAGGGGAACAAGGGCAAGCGGAACAATAGCAGTGAGGTTGAAGAAGAGGCGGGCCTAAGTGCAGCTTGTGAAGGGAACATGGAACACGGTCACGCTTTTAGCACAGGAAAATGGGTTTATCCGGCTGCAGGGCGCTGACGGCATCCCGAAGGTCCTGGATGAGCTTCTCAAAGAGCAGTCGAAGATGGCTGGCCTTGTGGACAAGCTTGAATCTTTGGGGTCGTCTGACGCTAAAAAGCACCGCACTTGGGGAATGAACGGTCAATGTCTCATATAGGTTGACCCAGGGCCATGGACGATGTCATGCAAATTAAGTTGCAATTGCTCAAGACCCACGATGAGATCGCTGAGATCAAAGCAGAAGTAGATTCTTCGGGCAAGGGGAAGATGACCCCAGAGCCACAACCTTATAACATAGTGCGCTGACACTTGAGAGCCCAGCGCAGGATGCCACGTGACAAACTCTTTGGACACTCGATCGTTGCATTTGTCTCAGGTTGAAATCAAAACTGGCTTCGAAAACATGCGAAATGGAACGCCTGCCTTCATCTCAGATTTTGTAGCGGACTCTGATGTTGCCCTGCTGCCTCTCCCACGCAGCACTGCGCCTTGCCTGGCCAGAGGTGCAGCCGGGCAAATGTCGAGGCGAACAAGATCAAAAAGCTGGGTTCCTAGATTGGGCATGCTCAAGAAGCAATGGAATGTTGCCGTTGGCTTTGATCAGGACTGTGCTGAAGAAGGTCAAACCTGAGCCAACGCATGAGAAAGCCAAGAAACAAAGTAAGAAAGTCCAGGATAAGCCAAAGTCCTCGAGCCCTGGCAAAGCTAAGGGTTCCAAATCCAGTCGCCGCAAAGACAAGTCGACTTGATTTTGCGGGTACGCCTGCATAACTGCAGTAAGCTTTGGCCCGCTGTTGCACATTGGGTTTAGCAGCGTAGAGCCATAGCTTACATGGTTTCCTGCAGTGTGGCTTAGATTGATCCCGGCGTGCGACAAGCGTCTAGAGGTTGCCGTGTGTGACCAACTCACAAAGATCGATGTTTGAAGTGGTTCTTCAAGATGGTTCTCCATGTTGTTGCACGCGGCGGGGTCGCTTGTGTGTTTGTATGTGTGCGCAGCTGTGCTTAGATGATTCCGGGGTGCGATCACGGCTGTGGTGGAAAACCGTTCCGACGTTTTCTTGATAGGCCACGGTGCAACATTTCAGGATTTAACCCTCTGGCCCGCCTCTCGCAGGTCCAGCTTTGGAGGCGAAGTCAACGTCTCTCGGGCCTGTGGCGAAGGCCATGGCAAGAGCTGTCGGCTGGGGCGTGCATCCCTCAGAGTTTCAATCGACCGGGCATTCCAAACACCCTGTTTGTCAAAGCTTTCCATGACAAAAGTATTGGTGCAGACCTGCCTTTGAGGTGCCTGACCGTTTGGCGTGTGAGATTGGGGCAGCCTTTGTGGAGGAGCATGAGGAAACCTGTGGTGAGACCAGCTCAACATCAAAGATGAGAAGTTCCAAGCTGTTGAAACACATGCAGCGCCTCAAGAAAACGCGCAAAGAGTCTGACCCTGCGTTGCTCGAGAACATCCAAGTCGCATGCCCTTTATCTTTCATTGATGTTGGCATGAAGTCTGTGCATCCTGTACTCCGAGTGGCCGACTTCTTGTCAATGCTTGCCGATGAAGGTCGTCTGGATCTTCTCACAGGTGGCCTCGGGCTTTCTGCGTGCGAGGAGTTTTGGAATCGATAGCGAAACGGATCCACTACATCCCGTTTATCGGACACACCAAGACAGGTTACAACAAGTGGCGCCAATGTACTGCTACGCCGATGAGGGGACCTCCTTGAAGAAAAGTCAGATTTTGATTGTTGCCACACAGCCAGTTTTGGGAAAAGGGACATGCTTCAGCGCTCAAAGATCTGATCGAGATATGGGTGTAAACATGCTCGGTGTCAGTTACATCACACGCTTTGTTTGGACAGTGATGCTAGCACAGTGTTACCTGCGAAAGCCTGACGTGTTCGAGAACCTCATGGAAGAGTTGTCCATGGAGTTGCAGCGCCTTTTCTTCAGTGGCCTCGCCTTGCCCTTCCAAGGATCTATGATCACAATTTACCCCTGCGTCATTGCATGCAAGGGAGACTGGCCTATGTTGAAAAAACTAGGGGCATTGAGCCGAACTCACCACGGAGCCAAAGCTGCCGCTGGCAAAGGAAAAGGCATATGCCACCTATGTTTAGCTGGAACAAGCGATCACCCTGACTGGCATGATATTGCTGGAAGCTGGACCTCCACCATCGGCACAAACGACATGCCCTGGAAAACCGAGTCCCCTATGACCAGAAACATTCCTCAAACCCTGGACTCCCCCTTTTTTTACAGACCGGACCTCTTCCACACCATGCATAAGGGTCTTATGGCGGAACTGGCTGGGTCAGCAATTGACACTTTGAGAAGCCTAGTAAACCTTCTTTAGACATTTTCTTTTTGTGTTAGTCTACATTGCTACTGGCCATCTCTAAGTTGTACAAGAGACGGCAAGGTGACGTCCCGTGGGACGCTATGCACCGAACCCTCAAGCTGTAATACCAACCCCGTAGAAAGGTGTATACGGACGATGCCGTTATAGCCGAACCCGTGTAAACGTTGTAAGGGAGAAGGAATGATAGTTACAACAGTAGTCCTGACAAATGCAGCGCAAGCGAAGTGTTTTCGCTCTCAATGCCGATCACGTATGTATGCAGTCACACATCTGATCTTGAACCTCAATTGTGTCTTGAGCCAAATGGCGATCAATGGAACTTGGGAAGCAACACCAACAAGGACCTCAGAACAGCTACCCAATTTCGGCACGGGGCCTAGAGGGTTTTAACATCCCCCATTTGGGTCGCAATGTTCATCATGCGGTCCAAACACCACAAAACGTTCCACTGGCCACGGCTTCAACTACGAAATCGTGTCGTGCATTCTTTTACTTGCTATCACTACACCGTTCATTCGCTGTGAAACATGCCGGGTTCGATTGTACGAAAAGTGAAACATTCATCCTCCAATCGAAGCGCACATCCATATGCAGGTGTATATAATACACAATCGTCGCGTCCTTTGACCACCAATGAACAATCCAGCTGCCGCATTTGCGCATCGCGCAGCTGTCATCCATAAATGGGTTGGCCGAAAAAAGTCCACCAGAGGCGCCTGCTCGCAATCGGTCTGCATAATTCCGGCAAAGAAACATCGGTGAGTAATCAATGCAAATCATAGCCATTCCAGATACCATGGACAATGCATAAATAATGAAAAGATATCATCTATAAGGTAATGGTTCCATCCGTGAATATCCAGAGCGTCATAGTCATCGGAATATGTAACCATGTACACACCCAATCATCTTGGACACATGAATATAAATCATGACATAAGTCGTTCCACCGAAACTGTGTCGATGTGACGCAAGTAACAGATGGGGACTGACCCACATCGTACCGCAATCAGCATCTTCACGAAGCATACCTGTCCCCAATGGACAGCCTATGGGTACGTCGGCGGAACTCCTCGTCCAAGTTCTTCTGGGCTTCTCGTGCCCGGACACACTTCTTGTTGTAGTCCTCTGGCAACCAGTGCCCTTTCCGAAGGCACCAATCCAGCAGGGGTGTGTCGCATTTGTTCGGGTCGATGGCCGAGATGATGGCGCTCACGTTGACCGTGTAACCATTCTTGCCAAGGTTTAGGCCATCCCTCACGAATGATATATACTTACAGTTGAAAGCTAGTGCAAAACATCTGAAAATAATATCACCCACCGGGTGCACTCGGTCCTTGACCAGGAGCTTCATTTCTTCCTTGGTGACATCGAGGATTCTCGCTGCAATCCACAGCTTGTAGAATGTGTAAAGTCCCTCGCATTTGTTCACCATCATACGGATATATTCGTCACGCTCCTCAACCGATCGGAAGGCTCTTGTCCGAACATTCTCCGATTGAGAAATCTTCGTTATTGTTGATGGCAAAAGTATACCTTCCTGATCATGCTCGGTGATGTTGGGGTACCTCTTGAAGTCATTGTGATAAGGGCAGCCCGGCCTCCCTTCGAGTCCGGCATTCATCGTTCTCTCCTCACCACCTTCAAACATCCCCCACAACTTGGACAGCTGGAGTGCGATAAATCCTGCCATGTACTGAGCCTCACGCGGCTCGTCAAGGCAGATCGCCATCCGTTGGGAACTTATAATGTCCCGTGACGCCAGATCGGTGTCGCGGTAATGCCAACCGCTGTCTTCTTCTTCTGACGCATAGCCGGATGTATATCCTTGCGTGTCCATGACGTCATCTTCTCCCGGAACTTCCTCCGCTTCGTCTTCATCCTCCTGTGCTGCCGCATCGTGGTTAGCTTCTTCCTGTGCACGCCTGGCATCTCCAGAGACGTTGGGGTTTTGGTTGTCCTCCTCGTCATCGGAGTTGATGTGAATGTAGTATCTTCCGATGGAGATCAGTTGTGCCTCGCACTCCAGGCATAAGCAGAAGCAGGTGGGGATCGCAGTCGCACATGATGGACATATCCGGCACCTCAGTCCTTCCCATGTCTCGTCATTCAGGATGACGACTTTGCTGATTTCGTCCCGGACCTCGTTGACCTGTGCATTGAACTCTTCCATCGTGTTGATTCGATAGAGTTCGCAGGCACGATTAACCATGTCAACGATGTAGTGCAGATTATCGGCACCTGTCTCAGTCTCCGGAATCCTCTCGCTGATCTTTGCGACGTTCTGGAGGAACATCGCAGCCGACTCTTGGGAAGAGTTGACAAAGCCAGGGCAGATCTCGTTCTCCACACACTTCGAGTACGCCCTCTTGATGTCAGCGTACTCCAGGCGCTTCCCTCCGTTGCTTTTGCCAATCCAAATGGACTTGACCTCATAGAACGGGATCACGTCAAAGACCATGAAAGTCCCATTAGCCGCGACTCCAGCCCCATACCGCGCGAGGGTTGCACTGGGAATATAGATGATCGCAATCGGATCCCCTCTCCTCACGTTCCGTAGCGTTGTCTTCGTCGCCACGTTCATCTCATCCCATGGAGCAAACGCCCCGAAGTGCAGTGCTAGCCTGTTGCCGCCATCGATTCCGCCGGGGACTAACCCACAGCGTACGATGCTTGGCAGGTTTTCCACATACGTCACATGGAATGCTCCTCCGAGAGAATCACCCATTCTTGCGGAATACCTATTCGCCAGTGCGGATGAGCTCATGAATCCAAAATCACTGTGACCGGTTGTGACTCGGATGCACCAAGGTCTGTACCATCCATCGCATCTGTTGAACATCCTGTCGATGTCGTCCCGATCCACGCCAGCTTCGGTCATTTCCTCCCTGGCTGCCCTCGTGTCGTTCGGGTTCATGATGCTCGGAAACCTTGCTGCCAAAACCTGGAATCTCGATTTTCTGCTTCCGGATTCCTGCCACTTGATCACCTCCATGATGCCCATGTATCGTTTCGCTCTCGTGGTGTATGGTGGGAATATGTCGTTGTTCCGGTCGTCAATGACAGCATCAATGTCGACCCATCCACCCTCGTCGCACCTGAAAGCACTTCCTCGGCAATTGCCGATCTTGTGTCGAAGGACTCTGCATAGGTCGTGAGATAGCTGGTTTGCTTGGTCCCTTGTAGTAAATACCGAGCGATCATCACCAATCCTGCATAGTGGAGCACCGTCGAAAGGAGCAATGCAGAAGTTGACACTCTTGCCAAGTTGCATCACGTCCACTTGCTCAAGGATTGCACCTTTGGGAAAGTATTTGGGGTCAACGATGGACGCATACGCCCATGGCAAGTGCACATCACTCACATCGCCATACTTCGGGATGTAGCACGGGATGGTGTCGCATCCCATCTCAAGCGTCTTCTTGAATGTCCTGTTGTCCCCGCACGGGTTGTAGGTGAGGTCGACGCCACCACATTGTAGCTCTCCTCCCTCAGCCGTGTCAGCCAT